ATTTGAAACATTGACCGGCCTTGCGACGTTCTTCCCATGTTTTTTCGTCTGTACCCATTTCTAACCAAGGTTTGCCTTCAACTATTCTTGGGTGTTCCGGGTATGGCCGCCTACCTCTACCTCTTCCCCCTGTGGAGTTGGGACCTCCTTGCAAGGGACCATTACCCCTACCTCCCACGTAGTAGCTACCTTCGCCACTACCCCTTTGGGCGGCGGGTCCTCTTCCTCCACCACGACCACGGCCTCTTCTTCCTCTACCACAACCTCTTCCTCCTTGTCGCCCTCCCCCGGGGGCTGCAATAGCCGCATAGTCCCCTCCCTGGTCTAAGTGATCATTGCTATCTTCTTCTAATCCATAGTCTATTTGGTCATAGGTAAGTAATTCCACCCCTCCTTCAAAGGTGACCAATAGGTTGTCTTTCCCTGCTATATTACCTGAAATTGTTCTATCTTTCCATTTCTTCCCTGCTTGCAAGTTTTTCCAGTAGTGGCAGTATTGTGCCTCCTGTAGGAAACCAGCATGATCTACTGCGATCTTGCTGAATTCCTCATAGGTCATTCCCTCTACTTTAGTGTGGGGATATAGCCGTGTTTTCAGGGGATCAGGGAGCGCTCTAGCGAAGTTATTCTGGATCTGGGTCGGTGTCAGTCCGTGATCTGGGCATTGCAATTGAGAATAGATTCGCACTTCGCAACAGGGTGTCCGTACTCCCAATTGTGCGAAGGACAAAAAAAGTGAAAACAAACACGTCTACTCAAAGGAACAGTGGAAAGACCTACCAGGAATGTCTATCTTCACAGTACGCACAATCGTATACTTTTGTCCAAGTACAGGGGAGCAATTTCTCTTTGTCGAAAACAACCTCCATGTTGTGATCCCTATGTTCGACTATCCATGATATGTCATCGCAATTATCGAAAAGGTAGTGCATTTGACTGTGTACCAAGCAGTCGACCCTTAACTACAACTCCTTCCTAATAGCCGCATCTAAGGATAACCGAGTTCTGAATTGGTCGCTTCCGCGCGATCGAGGGTGACATCTCGGTACTCCTCCCTTACAAGGAAATGAGCTTTCATTTTTCGACCATTGACCTTGACGGCCGTAAAAAACGTCGCAACTCCGGTTTTCCTTTGAAAACCATGCATATAGCCTTACATGGCTCTCGTCTTGGGTTGGCCATTATTGGATGGCAGAAAGGGTGTTCCAAGCGTAAATCATCTTTGTTGGAGCAAGAACGTCCTCAGGCTCCTTCTCATCCTCCTCGCCGCCGACAGGATCTACCTTAACCTGTTTCTGCAGCGAGTACATGTACCAGAAGTTCAATCGGAGATCTGAAGCGACCACGATGTGTCCATCATTGTCAAAGGTTAAACACATAGAGATCTCCTCGTCGAGGGCAGCACCACTTTCACTGTGCAAATATTGAAGGTCAATGCTCACGAGATGGTTCTCCCATATATTTTTGTTAAAAATAATGAGATTCAGTTCGGGAAACGATGAGACGTCGCATGGAGAGGAACCGTGACTTGACTCGCTTGCCTGACGCGAAGTGCAAACAGTTCAGGGTGTCCATCAGGGTGACTACAACGACGAGTTAACTAAGACTTATGTGAACAACGTGGTCGTTGACGGCAAAAAATTGGGAAATGAAACATATGCTAAGAGGAAGTCTGACATAGCAGTTCAGGGCGAGTGGTGTCCATTTTCACAATAAGGATAGTCGTAGTTGTCTCCACCTACCACTTGCAAATTCCAATGTTTGGACACCCGAACGATAATGTTACACTTTTCGTAGAATGTAGTCATTGTAGTCGTCCTTGTGTTCCAACGTGAAGAATATCTCCTCGCGTAATCTGAAAAGGAAGTGAAGTTGGGCATGCACCGAGTAGTCAACCCTTAGATTCACTTCTTTTGCCAACGAATGATCTATTTGGAATTGATTACGAAAGTGCATCAGAGCACCCATACACATGGGCTCACAAAAATCTTCCCTCACTAGGAAGAAAACTCTCATTCTTTTACCATCAAGCTTGGCCGCCATGAAAAGAGTCAGTACAGGGGTGCCACGATTGAACAGACGAACTCGGCCAAAGTATTCTTTGATCACAGGGAAATGCAACTGCGGTTTCCCGATGCAGTACCAAGCGCAAAGTTTAGCATGCTGGTCGTCCATACAATCCCAGTCTTGTTCTAAGCGCAGTGAGTCCCACACATCTACCATATCCTCGAGGTCAATGTTCTGCTCTTGACTGGATTGAACTTCCCAAAGTTGGACTTCTTCTAAACTCTAGTAGAGGTACCACATGTTTGATCCTCTATCGCGAACTATTGTACTTTGTCCATCAATTATACGTGTTTCGGGTTCAATGTAACCCTCGAGGCCGAACCCAACTTCGATATGCAGATAATCGGTTTCAAGACTGACCAAACCTCGTGCCCAAATATTTTTGCTCATGATGATAAGATCCCTGTCCACATTCTCGATCGAACTGGCTATGGTAGACTACTATGTTTCTAGACTGATGTTGTCCGTCATCTCAACTAATCAAAAATAAAAATACATCACTTGCGCAGATGTATGCGGAAATGGGAATAAAGTGTGTTTGTGTATGGGCACCAATTGGAACCTTCCCTTCCCCTGTATCCAACGATCCTAACTGCATCATCAAGCAACAGTGTCTGTCGTGTGCACAATGGCCCACCCCTGTGTGTATGACCAGTATTGCCCATTATTTATCCTCACGTGCTACGAGCCTTACATCCGACTGATCTGACTGATCAGGAGGCAATTTAAGGACAGCTCCCAAAGTCCTCAGGAATCATTTAACGTCGCAGACAGGACGACGATCATAGCTAGTATTCAGATCAGATCCCACCCGAGGTTCTTTATAGACAATCTGGTTGACGCATCGCATAGGACTGGTCAGTCCACGTTCCCTCTACACCGCAGCAAGAGCTTGAAGGACAAAGCAGCAAGCATGCGTGCTCTGCTCCCATGGGTTGGCATGGTGACCGTGACCCGTGCTTCGACCAGGGCCCTTCAGAGGCACCGCCCTCTCCTTCCAGATGCACCGCCAGGAAGAATGTCGACTCTCAAGGTGGAGCGCTCACAACTTCTGAACCAGAAGAGGACACTAAAGTTGGACTCACTTCCTCACGGTAGGAAGAGATTAAGATGGGAAGATAAGGTAAGGGATCAATGTACCTGACGATAGTTGCCCCCAACCACAGATTTCTAAGCAACTGAGCTGGTGTGCATTTTGATGACCGGTCATTGCCTCTGTACCACACAAAATGCAATGGAGTGCCACCTCAGCCAAAATGCCATGTCAGCATGCTCTCATCATCTCACATACATCCGTTGTCGCCACAGCTTTCCGGCAACACTTCCCTCCACCCAAGAGTCGCCTACAACAAGCCAGCGCCAAGGTATCCTTACTGCGTAGACACTTCGTTGGTGCGCCAAGTAACAAAGTCGCCAGCGCCAGTGTTGGTGATATGGAACCAGCTCCGATACCAAATTGCAAGGATTATGAGCGAGAGCGATAAGCAGAAAACCAGGTTGCAAAATCACGAAGTAGCTCAGATGGTCGTGTACCAAGAAGAGAGCACAATGCACCATTACACCATTATACCAAGTCAATAAGAGCAACACAATGAAATCTGATGTCAATGTTGCCACACTTTGTTCACACCACACAGTATCCACTGTCCCTCCTATTGTCTTGCACTCGGCGCCCAGCATACTCTACTCAGGCTAACCATCCTATCTACGTTTTTGCAGCCAGATCACATTGCAGTTGAAGACCAATGTACGTTGACGTCATCGCCAATGTGGACCGCCAGCATACACCAGGTATGAGCTCTCACCTCCCCTCAACACCTCGTCTTCCCTCTCTGTATGTGTCTCCTACCCGAAGACCACCATCGCCAACACTCGCACCCGCACGCTCGGCCCGGCTATGGCCGCCGTGCGCCCACTGCCACCGCAGTGCCCTCGTCACCACTTTGCGCCCGCGTGCGGCCCAGCCTGCCTGCTTAGCGCAACTTAGCACGACAATGCAGCAGCGTGGCCGCAAGGCCTGCACATGCCAGAATATCCCCTTCCTGGGGCACACAGTTTCCTTTATGGAAAGTGTGCCTGCCGCTGGCTGGCCTGGCCAGGCCTGTGGGGAGGGGCCCAGTAGCTTGCTTCTGGCCCCAAGTGTCTGCGCCCAGGCCCAGTTTCAGATAATGGCCTGGGCCTCGTGCAGTTAGGCATGTTCAGGCAGCCACCCAGCCTCCAAGTGTTCGCAGCATTCTCATTGGCTCCCGACTCATGTGTGACGACAATGCTGCTCTCTCATTGGCCCGCCGCCAGTCTGTGATGTGTCGGCCTCACACAGCGTGTGCCCAGGTCGCAAGCCCTGGGCTCAACTGTAGTACAGCACAGCCCTTGCTTCTGGAAAGAGCCTGGAGGATCATGTTGCTCTGTAACCAACTGGCGTGCTGCAACTGTCTGAATCCCCACGTATGGAAAAATGTAGACGTTGCTCTGTAACCAACTGACGTGCTGCAACTGTATGAATCCCCACATATGGAAAAATGTAGAAAACAGGCCTCTCGTGGATATTCAGGCCCACCTTCACTTAGGGCGGGCACAGGCTTTCTAGGGGCCCCGCAGCCCAGAACGCTTGTATGTCTGATAAGGGCCCCACGAAGGCCAATTCCCCTCTTATTTTCACAAAAAACATTGAATGAAGAAACCTCTTGCTCTTTTGAGCTTGCTGTACGAGCTTGGAATTCATGTCTGCACGGTCCCCAACTGCAACTGCTTATCCAGAGTTTTGAAGTTCAAATTCTGTCTGAAATTCCCTCCTCAGTGGCCATAATGTGTGCAGCTACTGCCCTTGCAAAATTTGGAAGCTCAGGCTGTGAATTGCTCACACGTTGCGACATTGGATATCTCGGCAATTTGCTGATGACCACGTTTTGGTTATGCTGTTGACTGCTTCACAGGGCGGAGGACCAGTTGCTGAGTTTGGACTAGGGCCTCAATTTCGCCCAGTGGGATCTCGTAGAACTCTTGGTGTTACGAGCAGGCCCCTTCCAGCAACAGAAGCTGCGGACACAAACCCGAACCGAAGCACAACTGCAAAGGTGGGTGGACCTACCAGTCTACGTGGAAGTGGTAACCTCAGCAGCCTTCAGCGTAGCTCCAATGTTGTTGCGACAGACCCTAGGCAATAATGGTACATGTCCTACCCCCATAGCAATGCTCTCAACATCCCCTACAACAATTATTGCCTGTTGTCAGAATGGTAACCATCTGGACATCTAGACGGCCATCCAGACAGTCTACATCTGGATGTCTGGATACAGTATCCGCTGGGGTTCTCTGAATGGGGCTTCTAAGAAAAAGTCTGATAAACAGGAGACAGCCTGGGATGGCTGGCTGCCTGTTAGTAGAGTTTTTGGGGCCTTCTATGATCATCCAAACTGGGATGGACTGCCTTTTTGTCTGTCCTAGAATGAACATGGCCTGCCCCTGTGTATGTGTCAATTGATTAGATAATTCAGCAAAGACGGAACAAGAACTTATGCTCCAAACCCTAAAATCCATGGCTACCCCGGACCCGACGCCAACATGCTATGTGCCTGATTAAAAACGAATCCAGCATGGCATTCACACTTTCCCATACACATGTGCAATGACAAGCAGACTTGGAGAGAGAAACCCACACCACACTAGATGAGGAGAATGCACAACGGAAGCTCACAAAACCAATAATAGAAATTGAAATTAATCAATTCTAATGAAACTGCAAGGAATATGAGTGTGAGCGATATACATAAAACCAAGTTGCGACATCACACAGCTGAGCAAGTAGTAGTATCCCAAGTAGAGTACAAATGCACCGAGAAAACCATCCATAAAGAGCAATACAATGAAGTATTGAGCCAATGTCCAAGCCCGTAGGCCACACCAACACAGTATC